CCTCATCTTTCTCCCGCAGAGCAGCTGTTTAAATTTTTTAAATTAGTTTTAAATGTGTAGGTAAAGCATGTGATCTGAAAATCAGATATTACAGATTTCTCTAAGTGGTCTCCTTCTTATCCCCAGTCTCCCCTCCCCTGGTTTCTTGTATATGCTTCTAGACTGTCTGTATTCTTATACACACAAATGTGAATATATGTTTGTATTCCTAACCCTCTTCACATGAAAACTTAATTTATCTGATTTAAAAGATCCTCTAGATCTTTTATGTCACTTCTTAAAGAGCTTTCAGTGAGCGTCTTAATTTACCTTTCTTCCCAAGAGATTAAAACCATCTTTGTTGTCATTTTGCACTCAAGTCTAACCATTTCAGTGCCTTTATAACTGGAAGCCTATTCCAGAGAACTGAGGCCAAACGTTGACTCTGCCTGCAAATTCTGTCTTGTTTTTGCCTCTTTTTTGCCCTCCTTTGGCCTCTTGGCTCCCCAAAGCTCATTCTCTCTCTCTCTGTGGCCTGGGTCTTCCTGGTCTGTTATCGTAGCCTCGAGTGTGGAGAGTGTGAGGATGGGGGAGGAGAACACAGCACTTTGGCTAAAACCAGGGTGGTAGGGGCAAAGAAAGCTTAGGACCTTTGGCTCTGAGGACAGAGAGGTTGAGGATTAAGTCATACACTATGAGAAGAATTTGGATAATGATTCTCATCATTTTAGACTTGTTTTTATGCTGTTCATACTCAGTTACCACGTTAGCTCTAGGAACCTGTTTTGGTGGGTGATTTGCTTAGACTTGGGAAGATGTAGGGCTCTTCTAGTCTCCTAGCAGCACCAAGATCTCTCGGCACCTTTCTTTTCATATCTGAATGATTTTAATTCAGTTTTTGCAGATGTTATCCTGGACATCTAAGATTTGCAAGGAAAATAGCCTGGGTAAGGTTCCTATCATGTTTCCTTTTAGACCGTATTTAACATCATCATCTCCATTACCCATTCTCCACAATAACCAAAATGAACAAGATACACAGTACCAATACCAATTGTTGGCAATAATGTAGAGCAGTTGGAACTCTCATTCGCTGCTGGTGGAGATGTAAATTGGTATGACCACTTGGGAAAACTGTTTGGCAATATCTAATTACTAAAAATGAGCATAGGCCTATGACCCAGCAGCTGTGCTCCCAACAGAAATAATATGGAAGAATGCTCATAGAAGCTCTGTTGTAATAGCCAAAAAACTGGGTGGGGAACCCCAGAATGCATAAGTCCATTGTGATATAGTCACAGTCTGGAATCCTGTGCAGCATTTGGGAATGAACACACTGCACCTCCATAGCGGCCTCCCTGTGTGACTCCACCTGAGTAAGCCTCAGTCAGCACTAACCTGTGATGTTACGAGTCAGGACAGCACTTCCCCTTGGTGGAGCAAGTGAGGCAGGTGAGGCAAGTGAGCTAGGATGCTGGGACTGTTTCAGTTTTTGATCTGGGTGACAGTGACTAATAATGAGAAACGTCCCTTTCTTTGGGTGGTTATGTGGGTAAGTGTGCCAGTGTGAGTGACCGTGACTGGGTTTAGTGTGACACAGATTTTGTGCCTGAGACATGACACGCTGTAGATTCTGGTTAGCATGCTAACCCACGCTTGCATACACACACACACACACACACACCCCTGACTGGGCTGTACCTTAACTTTTTAACTTTCTTTCCTTCCTGCCCCTAGAGGATGCCTCAGTTTGCAAGGGCTTGATGAACTTGCTCTTCAGCCTCCATGTTTTGTGTAAGAGTCCTGTCTCCCTGCTGCGTGACCTGTCCCAGGATATCCACGGGCAGCTCGGAGACATAGACGAGGTACTGCAGTGAGCCACCCAGAGAAGGGGTTCCGTAGACACTCGTGTTGGCATTCCATCTCACCTCTTGTTCCTTCCCCAGGACGTAGAGGTGGAGAAAACAAACCACTTTGCGATGGTGAATTTGACAACAGCAGCCCCAACTCTCTGTGTAAGTGTTGGTTTCGTGCCATGGGAATGGCCTGTCGTTCCTTTCATTCTGCTCCATGTGAAGCATCAATTCCAGAGGTGGTCGTGACTGTACTGCCCCAGCAGCTGAGCCAAGCCATGCCTTCTTCTCTTCCACAGTTACTGGTTCTGAGTCAGGCTGAGAAGGTTCTAGAAGAAGTAGACTGGCTAATCACCAGGCTTAAGGGACAAGTGAGTCAAGAAGTCCTAGCAGGTAAGATGAGTGGAAGAAGTGAGGTTCCAAGAAATGTGATGAGAGCAGTCACCTGAATCCATATTGGTCAGCTACATACAGTTGGCCTGGATGTGACTGGGAGAAATGGAGGATCAAGTGGCTGAGGGCAAGTAGTCTGTGTGGTGAATTACAGGCCCATTTTCCCTTCAGATTCCCTAGTTAAGGGCATGTAGTTTTCCTTCATGCTGAGCTGTAAAATACAGGCCAGCTGAGTGTGCATGTGCCATTTTGTCTTCTTTCAGAAGGAGCATCATCTCAGGCAAATGCAGCAAATCATCCCATTGAGAAAGCCGTCATTATTCAACTGGGCACTCTGCTTACATTTTTCCATGAGCTGGTGCAGACGGCCCTGCCCTCAGGCAGCTGTGTTGATACCCTCCTGAAGGACCTGTGTAAAATATACACTATTTTGACAGCGCTTGTCAAGTATGTGAGTATTGGGTCCGCCCCCCCATTCTGTTACAGCCAGCCAGAAGACCCAAGGAGGACGGCAGCCCCTGAGCTGCAGTGGCCCTGAACAGAGCTCTTGCCTGTGTCTTTTGACATATGCTGCATAGGAAGGCGTGATTTGAGTCTGATTAGGTCAGTGTGTGGCAAGCTCCTCCACCGGCCAGAGACTAATAGTTGATGGTATAATTCGAAATCTGTCTTTGTTGCTGTTGATGCTGTTGAGATGGTTCTGACTCATAGTGACCCTGTATCAAGTTTCTGAGGAGTGGTTACCAGTGCCACACCAGGACTCCAGATCTCCTTTTAGGAGCCCTTGTTTTCTTGGCATGGGAACATCTGATTAACAGTGAATACATCGTTTGTACTCTAAAGCTTCAGCTACACTGTAGCTATAGACTAAAATCTGAGTCCCTAGAGTACACACACAACTAGACCAGCTGCCATCAAGTCAGTTCTGACTCCCTGCAGTCCCCTGTGTGCGAGTTGAGCTGTGATCCACAGGGTTTTCAGTGATTGACGTGTGAGGTCTTTCTTCCAAGGTGTCTAGAAGGTGGACTAGAACATCGGACCTGTTTTCTGTTCTCAGCACATTAACTCTCTGTACCACCCTGGACTCCATTTCTATAATAAGTAGGCGTTAAATGGCAGATCAGGCACTAGGATAGAGAGAATGTTTGCTTTTTTAAAATTATGAGGTGTACTCTTTGCCTTATTAAGCTTAAGTTAAGGCTTCTTAGTATCTCTTAACAAGAAGCTCTTTTCGTGCAAGTATAATATTTCAGTCCTCTACTGGAGTCCCAGTGTGGCACTGTAAGATAAGCACTGGACCACAAGGTCGGCTCCTCGGAAACCCTATATAGTGTCACTATGAGTCGGAACCTACTTGACGGCACTTAAAAACAACACTGCCATTCAGTGAGTGATGGGAACCAGATAGCTTAGTTCTAGCAATGAATTATGTGAAATACTTAGGGATAGAAAAGCCAAGAAAGACACAGACCTCCCGGCAGTGTGCTCAGACAGCACTGTGGGTATCTCAGAGGCTGTGCAGCCCTAGGTATGCCATGTGGCTGCTGAGCACTGGTACAAACGCAGAGCGCCATTTCTCTTTGTTAGCATTTTTAAAGGTAAAACAGGCACGTCATTGGTTTTCTAGATGCAGGGACTATCACCTTGAAGGATTTTTAAAGCAATAGCTGAGCACGGCAGAACCAAACCCTTTATTGCCTTGTTGTGAAAGCTCAGGAGCGTTGGAGGAGGGGAAGGCAGTCTTGGATGGGCGGTGAATTAGTAGGAGCTTGTTTTCCTTCCCTCACCTGCGAGTGATGAAACAGCTCACTGAGAGCACTCACTGTAGTCCAGGGAGGGCTGTGTAGGCAGGTACCCTGAGCCTAAGACTCCTTTGTCTCTTAGTATCTCCAGGTGTGTTTGAGCTCCAGAGGAATTCCAAAAAATATGGAAAAGCTGGTGAGTTGGGAGTGCCTTCCCTAGGAATGGGAGAAGGGTTTAACTCCTCTGACGTTTACATTGGCTTCTTTCTTCTTTGCTGCAGGTGAAGCTGTCTGGTTCCCATCTGACCCCTCTATGTTATTCTTTCATTTCTTATGTGCAGGTAAGTGATTCAGATCAGTCCCAAAACAGAGAAGGGACGTCCTGTGTCCCCAGAGGACTGTGGTGTCATCTGAGCTGAGTGTGTATCACTTGATGTGCTTGTATTTAGAGTAGGAAAAGAACAACAGGCTTGAGCTCAACAACTTGGTTTATTTCTGGATGATTCCAAATGCATGCCATGGCGCCTCCTTTGGGAGTCTGAGTGGAGTAGTAAGCACATGAAGTGAAGAAAGGCCAAGATCACATGGCAAAGTGTCCTGTAAAAGTTGCAGCACGTTTAGCCAGGTAGAGGGAATATGGGCTTTTTCTGTCATTTACCCAGAGCCCTTTATTTCTCCTTCTAAATTTATAGCAATAGGATACACTCCAGGATTTGAAGAACATTTAAACATCTTTTGGTCACAAATACCGTGAGATTCCTTAACTTCTTCCTACTCGATGTTAATAGCATTCCCCCAGTTGTGATAACCATAGATGTCTCCAGACATTGCCAAATGTCCTGAGAGACAGAATCTCCCACAGTTGGGAACAGCAGACTTAAACCACATCAAGTTATGGGAAACCCACTGCCTCCCAAAGCCATTTAGTTACTGAAGTAAGCGTTGTGCAGAGCTGTCATTTGATCTTTGACATATCAGAGAGAATGGATCCACTGTCAGTCCTGGCCAAGAATTTAGAACTGGTCATGGAAGCGGTGGGCTGAGGCCACTTTGATGGTGATGCTGCACTTCTGCTTCTCTCCACCACCTCCAGGTGAAGCAGCTTCCTGTTGGCAGCGTCCCCTCCCTGTGAGAACCAGTGACCGGGTAGCCTATTGTGTAGTGTTCGCTGGAGGGGGGACTCACCCACCTTTGTGCCAGTCTTGTGGTCTGGATTAGGAATGCATCATCTGCCCATTTCCTGTGTCTGACCAGGTGGTCTAGAGCCCACTGTCATCAAGCTGGTCTTCTCCTTTGATCTCACCCAGATGCTTGCAGGCTTTCTCACCCACAGGCACACGAATTTCCACTTTGGTGATTGACTTCCCATGTGGGTTCCATTCAGTCAGACAAATCTGTTGTCTATAGGCTGTATCTCTCTGCTCCTAAATTTGGGTTTTCAACTCTGCTTATGTTCAAGCCTTAATGCCTACAAGGCCACATTTCACAGTCTCCTTTGTAAACTGGTAGTCCTCAAATAAGGGATTCTGTTAGAAACACTCACAAGGCCACATTTCACAGTCTCCTTTGTAAACTGGTAGTCCTCAAATAAGGGATTCTGTTAGAAACACTCACACTGGTCCTTGTCCTAGAGATTCATAGCGTTCATTAGCATATTAAATGTGCTTGGAAACTCAACTGTAATTGATTAATATGTTCAATAGTAGTTTTCACACCTATTTAAGAACTTTTTTTTTTTTAAGTTTTGATTGTGAATTGAGTGAAAGTTTACAGGGCGGATATGATCAGTTTTGTATTCAGTAAATCATATTTTGTTTCATTGCAATGATTACAGTCTCCATGTACCATCAGTTAACAGTATTTACTTCTATTCCTTTATTTATTTGTTATGTGCACATACAAAACAGAAAATCACACTAGTTTAAATGTCCAAAGGGCACACTTTACAAGAGCGCAGGCACACTGCCTTTGTCAGTCCATGGGTCTAGAGTCCTCAGCTGCGCTCTCTCTACCACTGTCTCTGCTGTCACCGCATTTCTGGTTAGGATCCCACTTCCCTCTTGCTAGTCCTAGGGTCCTCTATCCTGATAGATTAACTACTTCCTCCTTTTAGTTACATATGAAGAACCTTTTCTTACAACAGCTCTTATTTGGCAGAAAGTGCTGCACAGATGACAGCTGAGGAGACACTGCTCTGAGAGCAGGCTCACTCCCTGTCTTCTCTGAAAGCCACTTTGTCGAGTCATTGCATTAGGAACAGCTGACCTTTGTGTCTGTGCTGTGCTAACCCCTTCTCATCTCACTCATGCTCACAACAACATCGTGTGATAGTGGGGGGAGGCTGTGCCACCGCCTCAGTTCTGACTCATAATGACCCTGGATAGGGGTTCCCAGGCTGTAAATCTTTACAGGAGCAGAAAGCTTCATCTTTCTCTCGCAGAGTGGCTGGTAGATTCAGACTACCATCAACCCAGTTCATAGCGCACATATATTCCTTGTGATGGGTGGTGGTGTTGTTAAGTGCCGTCAAGTCAGTTTCGACTCATAGTGACCATACATAGGGTTCCCAAGGGGCCGCTGGTAAGTTGGAACATCTGACCTTGCATTTCAAGCCAACCTTGTGGTCTAGCGCATTAATCGCAGCGACACAGTTATGTTTAGATGAATGACGAGAAAAGACTAGCATATGAACTAAAATGTCCAAGAGCAGACACCTAGAGCTGGAGCAAGTAAGGTGTGAATCTAGACAGTTAATGCTTTTAAGGAGCCCTGCTGGCACGGCAGCTAAGTGCTTGGCTGGAAACCAAAATGGTGGTGGTTCTAGCCCACCTAGAAGCTCCATAGGAGAAAATTGGTGATCTGTTCCCAGAAGGATGACAGCCAGGAACTCTGTGAGACGTTCTGCTGTATTCCATGAGGTTGCTAGGAGCTAGGAGTGACTCAGAAGTGCACAGCACTGGTCAGTGTGTTCGGCTTTGTAGGCCAGATGGTCTCTCACAATTCCACAAGCCTGGCATTATCATACAAATGCAGCCCCAGGCACTATGCCAATATCTGAGTCAATCTTCCAATGCAATTGCATTTTCAAAACCTGTGGGCTTAGTTTGCTGACCCCTGCTCTCCAATTACACTTGATAGTGACATGTGAAACATTAGGTCTTGGAGTTCTGTTTCTGATCCCCTTCCCAAGCATTTTCTTCTGTGAATTACCAGGCATCACCTAGACTGCTAATCCTCTTCCCACATTACGCTTGTTCTTCACAGAAGTTTGTTTCGTGTTTTCCCTTGTAATTTTTCCCCTTCTTCATCCATATTTGACTCAACCTGCTGACAGGCCCACTGATGGTTAGGCAAGCATGTCTTTATCTGTCTTTACAAGATGTACTTAATGGACAACCCTGGGCAACAGCCCATAGTTGTGTTAGTGCCAACTCTCATCCAGCAATCAGGACTGCATTTCCCACCTCCTACAGAGAGCTACCACCACTCGTCTGTCAGTTTGTCTTACTGTGGTGGCTTGTGAGTTGCTCTGATTCTGAAAGCTATGCCACTGGTATTTTAAATACCAGCAGGGTCACCCATGGTGGACAGATTTCAGATGAACTTCCAGACAAAGACAGACTAGGAAGAAAGAGTGATGAACTACTTCCGAATATTTAGTCACTGAAAACCTTATGAATAGCAGAGAAACACTGTCAGATATAGTGCCAGAAAATGAGCACCTCAAGTTGGAAACCATTCAAAATGCGACTGGGGAAGAGCTGCCTCCTCAAAGTAGAGCTGACTGTGATGACGCGACTGGAGTAAAGCCCGTGGTAGAAATGCCCACAGGACCTTCATTTGCTGATGAGGCACAACTCAAAATAAAGAAAAATAACTGTAAATATCCA